AGGCTTGATAAAAATGGGCAGAAATGTGGAAAGTGCTTTGTATTGCCATGTGGGTATCTGATCAATGCTGCCTTTCAGGAGCATCTGGGTTTTATCCCAACAAATTGTAGCATACAGATTGTCTGTATCAATTTCCATGAGCAGGGTGGCTCTGGACAGTGGCCATCATGCTGGGCACAGTGAAGGTGTGCAGTGTTCCATTGGAATCCAGGTTTCTCAGCTTTTTGCACCCTTAGACCTTGTGGCTTTCATGAGGAAAATCTGTGTATTGTCTGAGCACTGTCACTGCAGCAGCCAGTATCTGCCTCAGTGCTGATTTCTCTGTCACTGGTGTCAACCCCTGCTCCTGCAGCTGTGAGAAGTTTGGGAAGGGTTCTGGTTGTGCAGCTGTTTCACAGCTGTCTTGGCACTGAAGTTCCAGGGAGCCTGGGCTGAGAAGCCAAGCTTTGTTCATGGGCTGGAGAGTTTGTTCTCCCCCAGCTTTCCCTGGCAGGCTGTGACCTGCACAAGGAGCAGCTGTGGTGCAGCTTGCCCTGCAGAAGGGGTGAGTAGCTGCTGTTCACACCAGCTTTGATCTGCTTTGATTTTCCCCCTCAGCTCAGACAGATACTTCAAGCAGCTGAGTGATGATCTGGAGGCTTACAGCCACCATGCAGGGAGGAAGACAGTGGAGGAGGCTGACCTGGAAGTCCTCATGAGAAGGTAATGAATGGAAGGGTTGTTACTGATCTGCAGTCGTGTTTGGTGGTGCTTTGAGAGCCCAGTAACACCTGGTTGTTGCCAGAATGTGCCACCAGCAGAGTTTGCATAGTGTGGGATCTGGGATTGACTCTGTGTGAGGCCACTTCTGTCCCAGGGGCCATCCCTGGGCTTGGGTTGCACCACTTGGTGATGGTGGAAGGACTAGAAGTAGTAGTGAGGGACCCAAGAGGAGAGGGATTTGTGTAGAATGTGTAGAAGTAGTAGAAAAATGCTAAGAGGGAGGCTGGGCTGCACTGTTTGCATCCCTGAGTGATCTCTTTGCTGAAATCATCTGCAGCTGACACTGAGCATTTTCACATGTCCTGCTGTCCTTTTTGGTGAGTTGCTCTTCCAAACAAAATACAGCTCTTCCTGCTGCTGCACAGGCTGATCCTTGGGGTGCAAACTGACAGTTCCTCTCAAGAGCAGGAGAAAGAGCCCCCAGCCTGGGTGGGCAGGGCTGGCCTCTCCTAACAGTGACATTGCTGGACAGCAGCCTGAAGAGCTGTTCTCAGAGCTGCCTCACTGCTGTTTTGTCCTCTGGACGTTCACAGCTGCCCCAGCTCCTGCCTGGATTTACTTTGTTCTGTCACCAAAACACAAGGGATTTATTCTTGGCTTGGAAGCTCTCTGTGAGGCCTGAAGCAATCCACCAGTTTCCATTTAAAGTCCTTACTCTGGGTGGTTGTTCTTAATCTGCACTGGAAGAGTTTCAAATGTGATGTTAAAGTCACCTGGGGGATAGTGCAGGGCACAGCTGATGACTCTGGCTTTGCATGGGCCTGTGTAGGTGAGCTGGTGCTGCTGATAAAAAAGAATCTGTTGCTGTCCTGATGCAGAGATTTTATTTTCCCATCTGACAGGGGTGTGCTGGGGTATGAACAGGCCAGGAGGCACAGTGGGTTCCTTGTCCTGGTTTGGGAATTCCATGCACTTGCTGTTTCACCTTGTTCTAGATGTCTTTCTGCCTTGCTACTGCTCATAAAGAGATCAGGAATTGCTGGCTCATGCATAAGAACAGCATCTCTGTTCCTTCCACATGGGAAGTGTAAATAAATTTTGCACTTCCTTTCTTTTTACAAAACTGGGAGATGCTGATTTTTTCAGGCCAGTCAGCTAAATGGTGTACAGGAAAACTCCATAGCCTGCCCAGTTGGCAAATGCCAAATCTGGGTACTGAGCTATTTCCTTCTGTCCCATCATTCTGTGCACATCTTCAAAGGGTGGAATTTATCCCACAGTAGGTGGATTGTGAATTTAGAAAGAATGAGCCTCTACTTTGGCCCTGATCAATACAGATGAACATCCCCATGGTAAACAGTGGGAGCTGCTCTGCAGGACCCCTCTGGGTCTGCCTGCTGTGCTGTGTGGGCAGTCCTGCATTGCACCCTGCACAGGAGCTCAGAAGCTGCCTGCAGACACGAGTTTTTGTTTGTCATGAGCAGTCAGAGCATTTCAGCTCTTAAATGCAAACACATCACTGCAAGAAAGCTTTGCTGTGGCATTGAGTGCAAGCACATTTCAGTGACAGCTCTTGTTTGTCCCCTGCTCTCTGTGCCCCAGGCAGGGGCTGGTGACAGACAAGGTGCCTCTGAGGGTGCTGATAGAGCGTCACCTCCCCCTGGAGTACCGCCGGCTGCTCATCCCCGTGGCTGTGAGTGGGAACAGAGTGCTGCCCTGCAAGTGAAGCTGGCCATGCTGGCTGCTCCCAGGGTTCTTCATGTCCCTGCTCCAGGTGATGCTTTTCCACACACACCCAGTCAGGCAGCCCCTGCTGGATGTTCTCCTGTGGCCGCCACACCCTGCTGGGTCTCACCAGCCTTTGTTACAAGTCACTTGGCTATCCATATTTTTGTATGTTCTATACCTTTGGATACTTGTACAGCTCTGATAAATAAAATGTTACATGTATTTTTTTGTGATGCCAATGCTGTTTATGCCAGTGAGCTGAGAGGCTCCTGCATTGTGGTGTTAAATTGTTCCTAGCAGGGATTTGGGGGGCTGTGTGGGTGCTCTTCATGCCAGCCATGGTGCCCTTTGTTTTCCACTGGTGTTCCTGTGCAGGCAGTTGCTGGTCCATGCTGTGCTCCTCACACAGGGAAACAAAATTTTTGTGTGTGGTTGTACTGCTTCCAGGGAGGCCAAACCACACTAGGAGTGAGATCTGACACAGCAAAGGGGGCCAGGGAGTGTGACTTTGTAGGATAGTTCAGAAGCTGGGAAAGAGTAATGCCTGAATAATAAACATGTACCAGTGTCAGAGGGATTGAGGTGGATCCTGGACTTTCTCTGCAGTTCCTTCTGGACTCTCAGTGTGGCAGGAGTTGTTTGTCCCCATCTGAGGCTGTCCTAAACCCTGCTGCAAGTGTGGATCCTCCTCCCCTCTGGGTTATGCTGTGGGTGCAGTACAGCCTTCCCAAACCACAGCCCAGGGCACAGTTCAGAGGGACTCCTGGAAATCCAACCCAGCTCTTGGAGGTTAAACAGGTTCTAAACAACACTGAAAGGCACAAGGGCCAGTGCAGCAGTTAAAATCTCTTCAGCAGGCAGTGCCAATCCAAATGGCAGGCACTTTTCAAGGATTTTTTTGAAACATAATTCCATTACTAGAACAAAGAGCATTTTTGCTGATACAGTGTGACTTAAATGTTGGAAGGAGAAGGGTCCTTTGAGAAGCTCTGCTGGGAGCAGTGTCTGCATGTCCTGCATGGGTGGGATTCCCTTCTCCAGGGTGTGTCAGAGCTCACCTTTTTCTCAGCAGGAGCTGCAGCTCCCAAGGAGAGGAATGGAAGGAGACAGGAGGCAGTGCTTTGCACCTGCTGCCTGCCACACGTTGGGCTGACACTGGGGTTGGCTGTTCTTGGGAATTCTTCAACTCACTGGAGCCTTTCCTTAGGCTGGGTGTATTCCAAACAGTTTGTACCTGTTTGGCAGCCTGGAGCCTCAGAGGCTGAATGTAACTTTTTGTATCAAACTGGCTTGTACAGACATCTAAATATATATAACTATGGATGTAGTCTAAATATATAACTATATAAATATTCTCTCAAGGAAGGGAAGATCATTCTGTCAAGAGCACCTGGTGTCAGACCTGGAACCTCAGTGCAGACCAAGAGAATGCAGCTCTTGCCTTAAGTAGGTCCTCAGTCACTCTGACAGTCATGGCTTTGGAATGATGACAGGGCCTGTTTATTGCTATGGAGACATGGAAAAAGAATGGAAATATGGAATTACGTGTGTCATACACAGAGGGATGAACTCATACTAGAAGTCTGCTCAAGAACCTTGTTTCCCTTGCTGCTGGCCATGGCTTCACAGCAGTGGCTCAGTTTTTGTAGTGTACTCTCAAGGCATAATAGTATTTAAATACATACATATATAATAGTATTTATATACATAATAGTATAATGTATATAAATACTATTTGTATTATGTATATAATACTATAAAATATTGTTATGTATATATTATGTATTTATATAGATAATAGTATTTAAATACATATATATTTAAATACGTACATACATATATATATATATACACACATATATATATACACACATATATATATATTTATATATATATTTTTTAATATATATTTATATATATATATATATATATATAAAAATACATACAAAGACTGTGTAGCCATATGGATCCAGCTGGGAACCGAAGGATCCTTTGTGGGTTGCCGTGCCCCGTGCCCCGTGCCCTGTGCCCCGGCAGCGGAGCCGCCGCCGCTCCCGGTGGTTTTTGCTCTGTTCGTTCTTCCGCCGCCATGGCGCGCGCGCTCCGTTTACCCATCGCCATGGCAACGGCCACGCCCGCAGGACCCCCTCGCGCGCCGCCATAGCTGCCCACGCAGCGCCTGACGCGCGGGCGCCGCGCGGCGGCCGAAACCGGCCGGTGAGCGGGGGCGGCCGGCGGGCGCCTGCAAGCGCTGGGCGGCCCTTGGGCTCAGCGCTGCCGCCGAGCACGCTGGGAATGCGAGTCCCGCACCCTACGGCAGTGAAGGGAGCGGAGCGGAACGGGGACACGGTTCCCAGCGTGCAGCGCGCCGAAGGGGGGGACGGGGCTTTGCGCGCTCCGCCTCTCGGGAGTTGTAGTCTCGGCGAGAGACGGGGACGGACGGACCGGAGTGACGAGGACTGCGCTTCCCGTCGGGCGGCGCGGCCCCATTGTGGGCACGCTCGCAGCCCATTGGCTGTCGGCCGCGGCCGGGCCTCGCTCCCCGCCCGCTGACACAAAGCGGGTCCAAGATGGCGGAGGCGGGCGCGGGGAGCCCGCACGGCGGGGACGCGGCGCCGCCGGGGCCGCCCGAGGAGCAGGAGCTGAGCCGGCGCCTCCGCCGCCTCTACCCCGCCGTCAACCAGGACGAGACGCCGCTGCCGCGCTCCTGGAGCCCCAAGGACAAGTACAACTACATCGGCCTCTCGCAAGGCAACCTGCGCGTCCACTACAAAGGTGCCGGGCTGGGGCGGCGGCGCCGGGTTCGGCCTCGGCCCGGAGCGGGACGGCCCTGGCGGGGCCCTCGGCCCGGCCGCTCCGCGGGGCCCGCCGGGCGCGGGCTGAGCCGGCAGCGGCTCCTGCGGCCCCGGGGCACCGGGAGCGGCGCGGGGACGAGCGGCGCCGAGCCCCGGGCTCCGGGAGCCTGCTCTGCCCGGGGCCCCGGCTGGGCTGCTCGGGCCGGGCTGCCTGGGCTCGGGAGCGGAGGCGCTGGGGAGCCGGGGGCTCTCCCCAGCGGGGTGTGTGGCCTTATATAACGCTGTGCTGTGCCGCGGGACCGGGCCCGGTGCGGGCAGAGCTGTTTACTCTGTCATCCTGCCCGGAGCCAGCCCAGCGCTCGGATGGCCCCGACACGCTCCGGGCCTGGGCTGTGGCTCCTCGGGTTTGCACCACAGAGCTGCTCGCTGATTTGTAGTGCGATGTTTTCCTTGCTCGCTGTTGGAGCTGTTCTCCCTACCCACCCAGCGGAGAAGTGATTATTCCTTTTCCAGCCTGGCTAGTAAACACTGATGTCATTCCCTTCTTGTGTAATCATTTTTGTCTTCTCTCTGTGTACGTTGGTCTTCAAATTCTGTCTGTGGGGAGGGGGAGAGGTGGTGCTGAGAGGGTTTCTCAAAAACTTCCTAGTGGAAACAAAGGGAATGCTGAAATGCTTGTGCTGTAGGAATTGTTCTTGGTGGCAGTGCAGAGTTGTGTATGCTGGTTCTCTGGAACGTGTGCTTTAAATGGCTGGCTCCGTGTAGAAACAGATCCCTGCTGGCTTCAGACAGCGAGGCTTTAGATCAGGACACGAGAGAGGCCAGATCCCCTCAGTACTCACATTTCTGTTCTTTCTTAGGTCACGGTAAAAATCACAAAGATGCTGCCTCGGTCAGGGCCACTCACCCCATCCCTGCAGCCTGTGGCATTTATTACTTTGAAGTGAAGATCGTCAGTAAAGGTAGAGATGGGTAAGTGCTCCTTGCAGCCCCGTGCCTGGGGATGTGTGCTGGCAGCTCTGCTGGACTCTGGCCTCCTTTCCCGAAGGGTTCCAGCTCCCTGTTCCAGGCAGGCACAGCACGGGCAGGTTTTGTCTCCTGCTGAATGGATCTAAACGAGGTGGAAAGCCCTGGAAGCAGAGGCACTGGCACAGCTGTGTCCTCCTGAGCACTTGGAGATGGGCACTTCTAAAAACACATTCAGGAAATTGGGAGTCTCTGGTGCGATATGAATTAAAGTAGGTTTTCTTCTTGCTGGCGAGGTCTGGTCACTCTGGTTTCTGGAATTGTGATGCCTCAGAAATGAAGTGAAGCAGAAGAGAGGAGCCTTGAGCTTAATTTTGGACTGCTGCAGTGGTGTTGATGTGGTGAGGAGTACCGGAGCACTGGGGAAAGCAGTAAAGGGGCATTTCTGACAAGGTCTGGAGTTCTCTTGTTAATGTGGATTTCATTTTTACTCATTATGAAGGTGTCTGTCTGCTCTGTGTGGATGGCCCTGGCATTGTTTGTTGTTAAAGGATGAATATGGCAGGAATATTATCTGGAAGGGAAAGCCACACAGGAGGAGGGATTGGGTGTAATTAATTATTCCAGTCCTTCAGGTGTGACATTTGAACTCTGACCAGTTTAAGGGTTGTGGGGAAGGCAGCAGATGTTCCTACCAAAATCCAAACAAAAGTGACAACTTGTTACAGTTGAATTTTTTTGCTGTCATTGTTGAAGTGAGAAGTGGCCTACTTGTAAAGGGACTTGGAAGGATCTCAGTTTGTGCTGCATTTAGGCCCTTGATAATTACTAGGTTATCTGCAAAGGTGGATGCTGGGCTGAATTCCTCACAAATGCAGGGAAAAGACCATCCTTAATCCTTCATTTCACTGACCTGCCTATTAACTGCTTGTCTGTTTTGAAACACTGCCCTTGATTAGTTTATGTAACTGCTAAAACTGAAATAATTTGCAGTGAGCTTCAAGACAATTTTCCAAAGAAATCACATTACAAAAGGTCACTGAACAGCACTTAATCTTTACTGCAGTCTAGATCAATCTTAAAGGGAGATAATGGAATTTTCTGCTTTCTCCCAAGATCAGAGTTTTCTGTATTAACAATTTGTTGTTTTTATTGTATTCTGTAATTACAGTGATTTTCCAGGAATAATTAATTCCAAAGAGAGACCCATGTGTGTTAACCCAACAACCTGAACAGGAGCTGCTGGTAGCTCTGATCTGAGGTTGGGCAGTGGAGAGGCTTTGGGAGCCTCTCTGATGTCTCAGCCATTCCTGTGCCTTGTTTTTCTTTTGCTGGTGGAGACAGATCCAGCTTTTATCTCGCACAGGGTGGTGCTGGGGATTTGTGGTTGTGAATTTCCACTGTAGCTGCTGCCTGGCTGTCACTTGAGAAGGCGTTTTTGTGTATCTCACCTTTAATAGTTCGAATTGTTCCTGCTGGAGGCTCAGTTGTACTGGTGAACCATAGCAGGGATCTCTTCTGGGGAGGCTCCCCAGTGTTGATTCCATCATGGTGACTTCAGTTCAAAGGATTGAAGGTGCAGACATCTAAAGAGGGGATTGAGGGAATGAAGTTCCCAAGCAGTGGAAGTGGCAAAGCCTGTCCCTAGGAACAGCACTTGAGCAAGGGGAGAGGAATGGGAATCCTTCTGAGCTCATTTCAGAATGGGTGTTTCAGCCTCTGCCCCAGAGCTGGTTATCTGACTCCTGTGTGAGGTGAGGATGTGCAGTTACTCCCTATGTTCTCCTTCTGGAGTTTGTGATGGCATTTCACATTTGGGTTTAAAATCTGAGTGATTTGGTTTTGAAACAAGACTTACTCAAGAAAGGCTTTGATGAAGTGAATTTCAGGGAAGGTTGAGGAGTCTGATTTTGCTCGAAGCTGTTGTCTCTCTGTGCTCAGCATTGTTAGTTTAGGGCACTGCACTCTGGTTGGATAGTGACTCTTGCTAATAAACAGCAAAAATGAAGGTTTCAGATAAGAAATGGGATGGAAGCTCCCAGTGGCTCTTAATGGAGAATAAGAACCCCAGAGCTCACCCAATGCCTTTCTGCAGCCTGCCAGGGGATGTTGCCTGTGTGTGACATGCTCTGATAAGAGCTGGCATCAGGCAGTGCCATTTTGGATTGGTGATGTCACTGTGGGAGAGAAACCTGAGCTATGGAGATGACTCAGGTGTCAGGACCACCTTTTTAACTTCTCCCCTGCTTTTCATTGGACTGAGGGGATTTAAAACCAGAGTGCTCTGGTTCTCTCCTGTGTTCTCCCACCACATCATATCCTAGCAGTCAGAGCACACATCCCTGCCTCCCCTTTTTTCCAGGCTCAGAACTCCTGTGCTCACCCAGAGCCAGCACAGGGAAGAGGGAGGGAGGGACTGCAGCAGCACAGACACAAGTTGCTTTCTCCTGCCACAGCTGGTGGAAAAATTTCCTCTTTTGCACTGCTTTGTCTCCCCTGTGCATTAATGCACCTGCCTCAGAAAGGTGCTTTTGTTAAAGAAGCAAACAAAATTATTCATGAAAACTCTGCCTTTGCCATCATTGGACTTTTCTGCCTCAGCATTGGTAAAATCTTTTACTGGTGGATATTTCAAAGAAAGTACAGCATCCAAAAAGTCCATTTGGTGTATGTAAGATGCTTTTAAGACTGATAAGGTTTTCTTGACTTTGGATTTTCCACTGCTCATGAGATAAAACCACAGTCCTTTGAGAAGGACAAATGTGATTCAAACTGACTTTTAGTTGAATGGTAGCTATTTTTTATCCTGGTGGATTTAGTCTTAATTGATAAGAGGTCATGTTTATTTACTGGGTTTGTTTTTTGTGCAGTTTTGTTTTGGTTTTTTTTTCTGGGAGAGGGGAGGCTGCCAGGATGCCATTGAAAAATTGTCTTGACAAGGTTTCTGGGTAACATTGAACAAATCGGGTCTGTCAGTCTGTTGATCTGTTGCTGCTTCTTGAGTGGGGAGAAGGTTCTTATCCTCAGAGAGCAGAGGAGAACTGAGTTTGCAGTCTCTGGTCCCAGCCCTCCTGTCACCTCCTTGTCTGTGCTGAGCACACAGGGAGTGGTTCCACAGCACTCTGGGATGATACGTGGCAGGGCTGTGGGATTCTGCCCTTGCATTTGCTGTGTGTTTCCACCCCTTCCCTCATGCAGATACACTGCTGCCCTGTCCTATGGAGAGCTCCTTCAGGGAGATAACTGGTGGAAAGCTGGCCAGAAAATAATGGATGATGATTTCATCTATTGATGTCACTGTCAGAAATTATTCCTTTTTTTTTTTTCTCTTTAAATTGAGGTCTACTTTTCAGGGTTCCCTGTATTAATTGAAGGCAAGTCAATAAAGGGATGGCCTGAGCTGGCAGACAAAAGGGTAGGATTGCAGCAGCCCTCAGTCCCATTCAAAGTGTTGTTGAAGAGTTTTGTTTTAAGACTTGCTGGTAGTTAATTCCTGAGCCATTGTGTGCTTGTCTCCTGAGTGATGTCAACTGGAACAAAAGGACAAGAGGCAATGGGTCACAAGTTGTGGCAAGGGAAATGCCAACTGGACATAAGGAAGAATTTTCCTTTGTGGAGATGGTTGTGGACCTGAGCAGGATGCCTGGAGAGGCACTGGCATCTCCCTCATCACATTTGCCTGGGCGAGCCCTCAGTCTGCTGCTGCCTGAGAGATGTCTCAGAGTTCCTTATGCTTTGGGCAACAGGATGAAGAAGGAATGTCCCAGGGTCCCTTCCTGTCCAAACCTCTCCATGAATCTGTGGATGGCTTGCCTCCAGCATTCCTCAGATGAGCAGATTGGCAGAAATGCCTGTGACTCCCCTGTTCCCGTGCTTCCACAAATAACTCAGGCTTTTATCCCTGTGCTGTTCATAGCAGCTCAACCTTAGCAGTATTTGGAGCCCTGAACTCCTGTCCTCTCTCCCTCCAGTACGTGGTTCTGCTTGCTGCTGATTTGTCAGCACATCTCACAGCCTCTGTCACCCCACTCCATCATCCCTGCTTGGTAAACAGGAACAGGGACAGACTCACCAGGGCAGGGCAGCCAGCCCACAGCTTGGAGGCTGTTGTGACTCAGAAGGACAAGTCATCCTTGTTGTCCTCTTTGTGCTGGCTGTGGGTGACACTGTGTGTTCCTGACCACCACTTTGGTTCCTTGGCTGGTTCTACCTCCCCCAGCCACGTGCTGGGGTTGTGATGGAGTGTGACTGGGGAGGGCGTTCCAGAGGCCAGCCCTGATGATGCATGGCTTCTGAATTCTGGCACAAGTCACCTGTCCTGCTGCCTCCTCTCCATTCCTGAGCTGCCCCTGGAACAGACAGCCCAGCAGCCTGTGGATTGCCTTTGCTGTCTTTTCTGGGACTGGTTTGGTCGTGGACAGCTGCTTACTCATGGGTGCTTTGGTGTGCTGCCATCCTGACCTCTCTGGTGGGGACAGAGTGACTCTGTGCAGGCACAGCAAGTGTGCTCTGTGGGCAGAGGAGGTGCCAGGGCAGCCCAGTGGTTTCATGAGGACTTTGAGCCATCCCAGAAACATCTCAGGATGGCTTTTCTTTTTGCCATGATGTGTTTTTGTGTGCCAGCACTAATGACTGTGTCCTGAGCCTCCATTGTGCTCACAGTCTTTTTGCTGGATCAGTACCCGAAACAGTGATTTCTGCATTAGGTGGACACCCAGAAAGGCAGGAGAGGGAAGAGATAACCCACAGGGAATGCTGGTAACCTTCTTCCAGCCCCATTCCACAGTTACTGTGAGCTGTGCAGCCTGTTGTCCAGAGATGAGGACAGTTTAGCTTGAGGACAGTTTTCTGGGAGAGGGACAAAAGAGTTCTTTGAGGAGAGTGGCTGAAGAGCTAATCAGCTTAGTCCATACCATAGTTTATTTTAAATCTTCCTTTAGCTTTCATACACAAGTGCCATAAGCCAGACTTAAAAATAGCTTAGTTTCTCTCTGACTGAAAAAGAA